AAAAATATACTTGACCGTATCAGATTTTTTATTTGGCTTATGTATGGCTTTATACTTTTACTCCACGGAAATCGAATAGATTAATATCATGCATCAAAAGATGTGTTCTTATAATACATTAACAGCTTTACTTTAGTAGGTTCTCTTACTTTAGACCAATTGTTTAGTTTCATGTTGTAATCTTCTTCAAAATTAACCGACGAACACACAGCTGAGCTTTTAGGACGAGTCACTATAGTCTAATACATAAATTATTAGGTGCAATTGGTAGTATATTAATATAACTAACAATCAACTTTTTACGCAAACAACAAATGTCTACGTACAATTCAAAGTTCATACTTCATATCGCATGCTTCTTTTTTAACTAATTGATTTTGTACTGACACTAGAAGTTCCAGTGTATTTAGCTCATATATGGCAGATCATAAATTGCTGATGATTCATAACACCGTTTCTAAAGAAGATGATCATATAGCCCATATAAATTCCACACATTTTATTCCAGGCATTAATTAAACTCTGAAAACAATCACAATGAAATTAAAACCAAAAGCATTCAAAAATCAAGAAACCAAGTTCAAGACCTGATTTTTNTTTTCTTTCATTAAATTAAAAAGATCATTCTACTTCATCCTCGGCAACCCGATTTCCAACGGGCTATTGCAAACGCTACCATCAGAGTGCGAAAACAACGTCCTTTGAATAACCCCAGAAGGAGAAGAAACAGCAGTCCCAAGCCCACTTACAGAATCGTGGGGCGAAGTTGGGTTTGGGCCTAAGGCCTCAGCAAGTGGCCCACCTTGCCCAAATGGCTCGGAATAATAAACAGGGCCCGATGACCATCTCACATTCTCATCACAAAAGTCAACAGCAACCCCGATTTCTTGATCCAATGCGGGCCCACCAGCTAGGCCCATAGATAAATTGAGCCAAGGCGAAAAACCTTCACTGTCAGCAGGTAGTGACGAATAGTTGTTTGAGTTGTCGTTGAGATTATCAATCGACCAAGCATTAACTAAGTCGATAGGAAAATCAGTAAATGTTGGCATTTGATGATCCACTTGATTTGAACAATAATCTTGATTGGACAGCTCATTAGGGATATAAACCGAAGAAGATCCCTTGTTCGGAAATGCATCGTTTTCCATTATCAAGCCGAGATCCCTTCATTTCAATGCAACAAAATGAATCATAAATTAAATAAATCAAAAACACAGCCCTGACGCTGAGGAGATGCATTCACCTTTGAAAAAGAATGTTTCTTTTTTAGCAAATTTTAGCGAATTTTTTGGGATGAATTGTTCACTTTACTTACCCTTGTGCCCCTTTTTGAGTTTCAATCACCAAATTATCGTTTTCAAGAATTGTACCAAAGCTTTTTCTTCCTTAACTGTTACATTTCTAGAGTTCAAAACAACTAAAAAAAGTGGCTAATAAACATTCTT